CCTATATGATGCTGCTAATTCTTATTAAAATTATTAAATGATAAAATATATTGGAGATAATTCACACACAGATTATGGCTTCAAAACCGGGATTAATTTTACATGAATTACGAAAAAAGACAAAGTGCTTACATGAAAATTCATTAATTCATTCATGTTTTTGATTTGCAATTTATAACGATCACACTTTTCTTTCCGGATAATTTTGAAAACTTTACGACTAATTTTATGTGAAATGATAAAGAAAATAGCTTTCTACTACGAGAAATCTAGTTAAAAGATTGTTAAAATCCTTCAATTCATAGTTTCGCAAATTTTTATGATTTTAACTATGTTATACATACCGCATAGAGAAAATGGAATGTTATAATTTACGAAAAAAAAAAAAAGAGAACACAAAAGTGAGAAATAAGAGTTGAATGGAAGAGGGATACCAATAACCATCTGTTTTAATTAAATTTTTTAGCATTTATTATCAACATTTCTTAACCAAAATATGCTTTTTCTTTCAAAAACTTATTTTGAATGAGAGAATGCTATGCTTAATTCATTAAATAAACTATGAGAAAATGGCAGTAGTAGACTGATAAAGTGAAGTGACACACAACACAACAATATACAAAGGCAAATGATTGAAAAGTTCAGAATAGACATGAAGAATTTTTAAAAATTAGATTTCATCTCTCACAAAAATCTGCTTCATTTCATCAATTGATGAGAGAAACAAAATCTTTTACACCCCGCATTATATCAAGAATATACATAAAAATAATCATAGAAAAACACTAAAGTGAATATAATTTTCGAATTAAAAAACCAGAAATTCAGGTACATTTTCCAAAAATGAGATAAATCTCCTTATTTGGTTACAACAAAAAAAAAAAAAAACAAAAAATCATTGAAGAATTGCATTCATACAAATAAAAAAGTTCTCCTCTTCCTAAAAAAAAAAAAAAAATTAGTAAAAGGGAAATCAAAAAGAATTAAGCATTTGGAATTCATTGAATTATGAAAAAATTCAAATATCAAAACTTGAGGAAAGACGATAACATTTGAAAAGAAAAAAATCATTTACGGAAAAACATAAAAACCAAGAAATTCAATAAAACTAAGCATATTTTCTAATAATATATGTCAAAATTATCAAGTATTGTTCGGCTTAGATGATCTAAAATTAACGATAATAAGCTCAAATAGCTGCTAAGATCTTACCCAAATTATGGACAACATTTATTTGATAATAAGTTGAAACTTTTTTTTAGTAAAAACTTCTTTTTGCTGCATATTCAGCTCCGTTACTTTTTAAAAAATCCATTTAAAAAAGTAGAATTTAAATCCATTAAAAAAATGAACTTAGATGTACATTCTAATCTAATGAGATAACAGACGAGGTTCAGCAGCTTACACTATTAACAAAATTTCTACTTAATAATCCACACTACTTATGATTTCGTTCCCGTCACTAAAAGTAAAACCAAGCAAATATATTTCGTTTCTTGCAATTTGAGAAAACACTTAAATCATGAGTAACAGTTTAAAATTCTCATTGAAACCTGAAATAAAGTAAATTGATCATACGACATTAGATAATTCTGAATTCTAACAAAAGTCTAAGCCGCACAAATAGCAAAATAAATCAATTTGAAAATAAAATGAAGATGCAGTAAAATCTGAAATGATTAAGGAATTATAATACAAGACAAGGAAAAATCATATATGAAACAAGAAAAAAGTTTCTCCGCGTCATCACAATTAATTGGTCAGTTTAGATATGTATAACCAGAAAGTGATGGAAAAACAATAGAGAAATTTAAGACATTGAGCAGATTTCAAAAAGACTGAAATGACAAATCAAGGAGAAAAATTTTGCAATATATTATAAATAGATGAAATAGGTGATAGCAGCTATACATCAATGTTATTACTTATTTTATTCAAATTTAATTTTAAATTTGAATAAAACTCTTCCCTCAAAGAGTAACCTTTTGATTTGTCCTCATTAAAACGAATAAAGTCCAATCAATGGCAATTCTGGTAAACTGGTACAAAGAATTGGAATTCGAGAAATTTATTGATTCGAATTAAAAATTCAGCTTTCCTTGCCCTCTTTTCGCATTATGGCGTTAGACAGTTTTAAAGCTGCAATCAGAAAACAAAAGAGAACAAAGGACAGAAATTATAAATGATCTAAAAATTAAAATTAATTTTAGAAAAGTTCAAACAATTTCAAGTAAATTTTAAGAAACCACAGCTATCAATAAAGATCACTAACAACGGTGATAGTTGAGCTATCCTCAAAATATTAGAGCATTGTAAAACACAAAAACGCAAAAAAGAAAAAGTTCCAAGATCAATTATTTTGTTAAACATAAAAGTAAAACATGTCAGTAAAACTTTTTATGTAAGGAAAAAATCGATGCAGGAAACCAACGAACACGTATAGAATATACATGTCAAAGTCGGATACAATGACATCCCTAAAAAACCAGAATTTCAATAATACAAACATATAACAAATTTTTACCTCCTCATCCTTCAATAGCTGATTGTGTTAGCAAAACAGATGGCAATATTTATAGCCATCATTTCCAGCAGTAAAGATATTTAAAAATTTTAGAGTAAATCACTTATTATTGCTTGTAGGAAAAGTAAAAGTACAAACAGAATCTTGCAGCAGCAAAGATTTGTTTGTAAGCCTTACAGCTCGATGATATGAAAATGGAGCTAGTAAACGAATGATTTTTAAATTAAAAGAAATTTTAGGTGACGGGAATCGATGAAGATGAAGGAGGTATAATGGCTGTCGTTGAAATATTACTAGCAAGAGAGATAGTAGAAGGTGTAATAGTAGTAATAGAAGTAGCAGTAGGAGTAATAGAAGGTTTCATTGCACGCCGACAAGCCAATACTGCAGCTAATGTAACAAGCAGTAAGACGGCCAACTGCAGTGTCATCAACAGAACCGGTAGTGAGATCTGTAGAAAAACCGTTAATTCAACCAACAACTTATTAATTAATTAATTAATTACACACGATGTAAATGGTAGCATTGATCATAATTAACACACGAAATAAAAAGGCAAAGATATAAAAGTTTAAAAACTCATAAGATCCCATTTTTATTCATTATAGAACCTACTGATTCCGAGCGGTAATGCATCAAGAAGGAAAATTCCATTGAACATGCAATTTGGAGCACCGAATCAGTAATATCATAAGCGACCAATAGTAACATATTCAGTGAATTATTTCAATAATGCTAGATTATTTTAATAATCTCGAAAACTTGACCTAATACACTTTTTTTTTCTTGACAAGTAGTTCACTATAAAATTATGTTACAGCAACAAATACTAGAAAGACAAATTATTCAGTCATTCAATTACTAGAAGGAAGAAATTACTTATACAGAATGTATCACCACCATTCAATTCTACTCTCGAATAATTTCATACTAAACATTAACAATAACGGGCCACACTCATTCTAGCTTCATGCATAGCAAATCATCAAAACCGAAGTAGAATAAGTAAAGTGGTTCGCTATAAAAAAGTTTTATATAATACTAAATTTCTGCATAGTATCCGTGATACATTTAAACTATATACTTTTTTAAAGATTTGGAATTCAGACCCCAAATTTCAAGAAACATTTGAAATTATTATTAAATTATAGCATGGAGAACTGAACTTATTTGACAGCATAAGAGCTGGATAATGATTAATATCTGATATTATGCAAAACAGTACATATTCGCAAAAAGTAGCAAACCAACTTTAACTTCTACTTAACTATCCTTTGATATCTTGCAATTCATGAAATCTAGCAAATTAAAGAACTAAATATTACTTACCTTTTGAAATATAGTAAAAATTTAATTAAAAAGCATGCCTTCTAATCAAAAAATGTTAATTTTCGCGAAAAATGAAGATAATGGAATGAAACCACAATTAAAATAAAAAACACATGCATATTATTTCATGTGCATTATTATAGTTAAATGTCCAGAATTTAAGGTTCATTAGAAATTAAGAGATAAGTGTCACAAACAAAATCCTAGCAAAAATGAAATTTAAGCAAGTCAAGCTTACAAAAATGATAGTGGAATTTCTAGACAAATGATGTCTGAAATTTATAGCAAAATAATTCAAAAGTGAAAAATTGAAAAAAAAAAAAAAGCTACATGCATTATGTAACTGCAAAAAAGAATTTGCAAAAAGCTGCATGCAAATCTCTCAATTTTTTTAGTTCTTTTTGTCTATGACACAACAACCACGAAATTGCTGATAGTGTCTCATACCCGTAATTCTGGTGGAGCAACAGCCAAAAGCGATTTTTTATTCTCCACCTCTTCAGGTTGCCAATCTCTAGAATCACGTTGCTTTTGCATCATTTCCTGAACTAACGATAGTGAGTGATGATGACGATGACGGCAACACTGATGATAAGATTTCGTGACTATCTTCATATTGTATAGCTATTTTCATTTCCTTCAATCACTAAGCATATTTCTCAAATTACAGTAAATAAGAGCTTTAAAAAAAAAAGAAAAAAAAAATGCATGAACTGAAACAACAAAACTAAAAAAAATATTGTTAGAAGTGGTATTCCGTCTACATCATATACCATCCTATTATGACAACAAATAATTAAATCATCCAGTTCAAACAACCAAATAATTCTGATGTCAAAAAAAAAAAAAAAAAGATTCTCGAATTTTTTAAGAAAATAATCGAGCACAATAAAAATCATTCTGAAATGTCAATGCCTATTTGGATGTTTTAATTGGAATTCACATAAGCAAAAAGGCGTGTTAGAAGTACGTAGAATTATTGCTACCAAGCTCCGCTGTGCACCTGTGCATAAGCAACTATCTTTTGTAAAAGCTACCATCACCTCCTTAATTTAGTAAAACGGAAAAAGAATTGATTCCATATTAATTCATAGGGAAAAAGTTGTAAGGCTATTTTTTGAAAGACTACTTAGCTGTAAGGAATGCTTTAATGAAAGACTACCGTAGCTGTAAAGAATGCTTTAATCATTATATGATCAAAGAAATGAAAAAAAGGACTGCGTCCATGCACCTGTGATGCTATATGCTGAGTAATTCGATCAAATGGAGATTCGACTGAAGAGGGTGATGGATTTGAGGGATGCCGAGGATCATTTGGTTGAGCAGGTTCTGCCGTACCATATAACAAGAGCGACCAATCGTGGAACGTTCCTAAAAATGGCCAGCAAATAAAGATATAAAAATGTTAATTAAATATGAGATGCAATACAAAGTAAAATAGCAGAGAAGTAAAATTTGAAATAAAGTACAGAAATGAAAACGCGTGCATGACACTGTAATTTACTGAACGAACAATTCTGAAAGTCCAAAAAATTTGCAATTTATAATGAAAAACATATGATGACAACAACAACCTCCAATATTCCTATTCGTGCTAACAGATTCCACCATCAAAGTCCACGTTCCACGAGGATCTTCACCCCATGTTTGAACGGATAAGAAGGGCCACTTATGGATACCATTCGAATTGAAATCCTGCAGCAAATATTTATTACTGAGCAGTAGTTGATAGACTAAATATTAGGAAATCATCTCCATGAAATGGAATCAATCATATGTTAAGTCAAGCTGATAACATAATTAGCATGTAATAAAAAAAAAAAAACTGCAGTTTCTGAACTTTTACGTGTGGGATAAAGAAAAAACTGTTAGAAATAAAATATTTTTTATTTTTTCCTAATACATAAGGTTTATAAAGCAAACCTGTGGACGAGGTGGAAGCAATACAGAAGAGGTACCACGTGGCGAAAACAGTGTGAGTTTCAGGTCGCCCCTCTTCCCAAAGCGAAATGTTGCCAAAACTTGTACATGCTCGAGATAGAGAACTGGTGTACCAGATTCACAACCACCTACTTCCAGTGAAAAATTCATTTGAAAACTACCCGTTATTGGTCGCGGACTGAAAAGAAAAAATGTTATACGTTTACAAGAAACAAGTTTAATTCTTTCCATACAGTGTCATTGCAAATCACTGCAATCGAACTCTTCTACAGTTATAATCATCTTTAAAAAGTATTGGAATGAAGCTCACTAAGTTTGCAGACAAAATTAAAACAACCATTTCAATGCAATCAACTTCTTAGAAATCTTCATCTTTCTTGCAAGTATTATTATTTTCATTTCATGTTTACTATTCAAACTACTTGCATATCACGATTACAGAATTACAACTCACTTTGGCTTCTCTAGCTTATAATCATATGTACAAATGTGTTGTTCTGGTACCGTTTTCCAGATCAATGCGAGCTTTACCAGTGCTCCGGCATCCATCAGTCCATAACCAAATTTATTGTTAATTCGTCGTCCAACCCCATTCACCGACCAGCCTGGATTATTCAACAGTGGTACTGGATTGGCTGTCCGCAGTACAATATGTTGCATGTCGCGCCATGTCAAATTTGGACTAAAAGTTGATAAACTGAAGAGGGAATTTCAGGATGTTCGGTGTTATTCAAAATAAGTGAATTAATAATTTCAAGAAATATACGCTTGCTTAGATAAAATAAATGGCTTAACAATAACAAAATTATTACTAAACATACTTTAAAACATTGTAAAATTATCTAACTGCAAGCTATTTCTTAATTAATGACCTATTACTTCTTCCGTCGTTCAGCTTCAATCGATCATACCGAAAACATATAATTTTTTCCTGACGATTATTTAAGTATTTATTGGAGTATTTAAAACTTACTTAGCTTCCAATGCCAACGCAATAATACCTGCTGCAATTGGAGCAGATGCACTAGTACCCGTATGTGAACGAGTGCAACCGTGTGGTACATCAACTGTTATCTGAAAACTTGACTTAAGGTTAACAGAAATTAATACTTCCTTAATTTTTAAGAATTTTCTGAGTTCTTCGGACATCAAATTCAAGAATTAATCTTTAAGAAATTAATGCTGTTATGCTCAATGTATATAATATCACTAACAAGCAACATGCTGTACTAAATGTCTAAATAAAATAATTCTGGCAGAAGTAGTGAACTTGTAATGGAAGAATGCACCTGATATAATCCAGTAAATCTATTTTATAATCATACCAAGAATGGACTTTGTAGGAGAATCATGAAATGAAAAGCACTGAAATATAAAGTACTCACAACAGCCGGTTGATTCATATTAGCGCTGCTATATGTTGTAGCGATGGTTGATGGACACTCTTCCAAGTACCATGGACTGCGATTATCAATTGTCGCCGAACTAACACTGAGTGTATAGACAGATGTCGTATAACCATCAGCAGAGCAGCTATCTTGCCTGCAATATAAAATAGAAATTTACTCCTCCCAGAAATATTTTTAGCAATCAGATTATTTTTATTACTTTCATCCTTATATATAATAAAACTTTTAAAATCAAATTTAGCTGTTTCCAAGATTCTTAATATTTTCATTCGAATTTAAATCTTTTACCTTGAACCACCATTACCACTGGCCCAAACAAAAATACTTCCTTTACCATCACGTCCTACCCTAACACCGTGATAAAATGCTTCGCGAGTTAACGGCCCAGGACCATCAAACGTTCTTCCATCATCTTCAGGACCCCAACTCGCCGAATAAATATCAATATGATGACGATTAAGAGACAGACTTGCTGCTTCAACACTGAAGTGAAATTAATTTGACAAGTGAATTTCCGAAGATACGCGATTACCTGGTTTCATAAAATACAAGATCAAATTGCAAATATAGCAAAAAAATTTCCGAAATTCTTGTCATATTTATCAAACAGAAGCGAAATCTGAATAAACTCACTTGGACATTTCATTCCATTAATATTATTATGATAAGAAATTGAAGGTATCTATTAGAAAACTTGGACCTCATTTTCTCACCAAAATAAACATATGCCAATTTTAAAATAATCTAATTTGCATCAAATCTTATTTTAAAAAGTATGATTTATTCATGAATCTACAGATAATTCAATAATAATGAGTAAACTAAAAGTAATCCAACAAATCAGCAACGGCTATTTAATATCCTAGTACTAAGCATTGAACAAAATTGATTGTTCTTTATTTTGATTTTATTTTCAACTGCACCTTAATCCATTAATCCTATCATTTATTTATTTACCTATCGCTCACAGGACCATCAAGCATTCGTACACCTCCGATTTTTGCATGAAATGCAACACCGACACCACAGTATACATTCCCAGCAATTGATGCAACTTCACCTGCACAACGTGTACCATGCCTGCAAGCATTAACGATTATTCTATAGGATAAGAATGATTATACCAACTTAGTGGAACAAATTAGTTCTCATAGATATTTTCACCACATCATTAATTATGCATACTTCCTAATATCTGAATTTAGTTCGAATTTAAATTTGATAAACTTATTTGAACAACTTATTATAGTTCTTCAAAAAAAGAAGAACAGCTGGCAGTGTCGATGCAGGATAACTTCTACGCTAATCAAATAATTCGGTTTACCGATAATTCAAAAATGGGTTAACAAAAATTAATACATTAATTCAACACATGAGCATAATCATAACTCTCATTTCAAGTTACCAGTAATATGTATATTTTAATTGGATAAATATGACAATTACATTTTTATGTGATTTCATTATCTCGTTTTTAAGTCTTTGAATTTTTTTATCAAAATCTCAAGATTTCACTATATTATTTGATTCACTCTAGAAAAGTATTTCTCACCCATTTACTCCACTGATTTATTTATCATTTTAACTTTGCCTCGTACTGTGCATATTTGTTTGTCAATTTTCTCACATGGTCAGCTTCTTTCATTTTTTCGTTTTTTTTATTCAACTCTTCAGAATAACTTACTTATTGTCACCATCATCTTGCGGAGTTGGGTCATCATCATGACCATTAATATCCGTACTTGCCAATGGATCATAATTTGCTGCCAGATCCGGATGATCTCGCTGTATACCATCATCTAATATTGAAACAGATACATTACGACCAGCATAACCTAATAACCATGCAGCCTGCACATTCATGTCAAAACCTCCCTGTGCACCATTGTTCTGCAATACAGTACTTAACATTCTTTTCGGATAATTATCATATTCTAAGCAAATTGCAAGAAATATCATTTAGATCTCTCTTGATATCTTTTCCGATTAAAGAAACTTTTTAATATAAATATCCTTTATAAACTATAAAATTTTTACTATAAATATCCTTTATAAATTTAAAAACTTTAATATTACCAAAACTCCTAGCTATGTGCAATTCATAGAATGAAAAGATTTTCGCATACAACTTGACTCAATCTTCTTTTAAACGTCAAAGATATTCAGAAAAGAAGAGAAAAAAAAAAGAAAACCGCTCTCTAAATCTGATGAGTACTTAACAAGATTTTTTGGTAAAAAAGAATCTTTTAAAGTCTCACAGATTCTGAAAGCAATGGGGATTAAGTGATCTATGCTAAAACAAAATAAAACAAAAAAAGACGCACAAGATACCACTGCTCCTTATATAGCGGATCTGGAAATGGCAAAACAGGTACATCACGTTGTATGGAATTAATACGCTGTTCCGCATTAGCTATCGATTCAGCACGTTTTACAACATTGATGAAACCACTATCACGTTCATACACGGTATCCGAATAAACAAAATCACGTTTTCGCCTTACTCTGAATATTTTAGACATTGAGATTCAACAAGAAATCGGAAACTAAATCTCTTAAAAAAAATTATGCCATGTTTTCTTGCAACTGTGAGTAATGAACGAAATTCATTTTTTCAAAAAATAATCAATTAAAAACTTAAAATACCTCGGCCTTTGTTCTTCGATCAACAGAATATCAGGATGCTCTTGCAATCTCGAGATTATTTCACGTTTTTGTCGTTTTGAACGTTCCTTTGGTGAATGAATAACAAAGTAATATGTACCGTCTAAGAATGGCTTACCCTAAAATTAAAATAAAAATTTTCCATTTATTTTCTTAATTTAAGTTCAAAAACTTAGTTTTCCAAAGAACTCTACTTTAATAATACACAATATATAAAACCAAAAGTCAATAAAGTGACTGACAATGATGATCTGAATCTTTAATGGACAATAATATGACTGAATTTTAAAAGCCTTGAAAAATTAATTCCATCTTTCAATTTTTTGATACTATTGAAATGGATAGGGTCTCACATGGAGCAAAAACGAGAAAAAGATGGATATATCCCAAGATTCAGAAGACTTCTCACGTATCAAACATTCTAATTCATATTACTGTTAAATATTAATACCAATTTGGATAAATAACACACTAGAAAATCTTGTTAGTTACTTACTTTGATTTCCAAACCATGTTGTTTGGCAATTAAGTGAGCTTTTTTGTCATTTCTTTCACGAAGTCTCATAATTGTATGACTTGGTTCCGGACAAGCACCATCTGCTGTACATATCGAATCATGCTCAATGGCCAAAACTCTTTGCAAATAACCGAATAAAACGAATATTCTTGCTAAATGCCAAAACATCCTGAAAAAGCGCTGAATACATATATTTTTTTCGAAGTGTTGTAAAAGTTGTTTATACGTGAATGGAATTGTTTTAATGCCAGTGGAAATTAAACAATTTAACTCCCATTAATAGGTAGGAAAATAGCTTTGGATTTATGAAACCATTCAAATAAATCTCCACTGATTAATATTTTCATGATGAATGTAAATGTTCGTATAGAATTTATTCTTTTGTTTTATTTTAGTGATGATTGTATGTGTTGTTGGTACAGAATTCATTATTTCTCTTAAGTATGACACGATAAAGTATGAAGTAAGAAAAAACGATATGTTGAGAATCATTTACCTCGTCGTTATCATTTTACTATATTAATTTACCTGATGACATCACGTAAATAAAAGGTCATGCAAAATAAATGGAAACACCATTATTATCAATCATTCAAATGAATACCTTTATAAGACAACTAATGCGAATGGCAGTCCTGATGAATTGACAAAATTTCATTTTGTTGCCAACTTTTTTGAAAAATTATTTCAGCTCCCTCTTTTTTCCTCAAGCTCACTAGCCTTAAAAGCCTGTATTGAGCTCAACTAGATCCTCTTCCCTTATTGAAGCATGAAACTCGATCACCGATTATCCTCCTCAACTGTAAATGTAACATTTCTTATATTATCAAATTTCATCTCACTTGTTGAAATTACTTCCTACAATTTCCAAAATATGAAAAGATCTAGTTCAAAAACTATGTCCTTTTCACATCACATTTTTTTAAGAAATATTTTTTTTTTCTTTTTATAAAAGATTATATTGAAAAAAAATCTTTGACATATTATAAAATGTTTCTCTTTTTTATAAAATAATCTTTGACATATTATAAAATGTAATCTTTGAGATATTTTATAATATCTGTTTCTATATTATTTCAAAAAAAAAAAAAAAAATCACCTAAAATATTACATCAGACATGAAAAAGGCAGCAAAATCAAAACGAAATAACTTTTGTCCATTGCTACCAAGCAACGAAAAGAGTATTTTATTATATCGAAGCCGATAGCAAGCTAATATGTGTTTTATTTCTTACGCACTTGCTAAATTCGAACCTACGCTTAATTTTAATTATTATTCTAAATTATCTATCATTTATTTTCAGGTTATTTTGCTTCGTTTAATAGCATGTTTATTCATTGCATCCGGTTTAGCAATAATTACCCAAAATTACATAATTATTAAACCACTCCATAGCTTACGTACTTAATCACAACTTTATTGGTTACAACATTTGTTAGAGGTAGTGACTTAAACGACATTTGAAAAATTGAAAACAATAATCATTACACGAAACCTGATTGAAACAAACGACAAGACAGTAATCTCAAAAAAGATTATTTTTATTTATCGTTTTTTTTTTTTTTTTTAAATTTCAACATTACTTCAAATCACTTAAATAATAGAAGAAAAGATTAATCAGAAAAAATCAAAAAGTTAGGAGAATTTGTTTTGAAATAAATTTTCCCAAGATGTAAATAAGGTAAAAAGCGGAGAAATTCTCAATTCGAAAGCAATTTCCCATTTTCCAGCCAATTTCCCAGAAATCTTTTTTGCAGTAAAAAAAAAGTATATTAAGACTTGAAGAAAAAAAAAATAAAATAAATTCATTGAAATTAAAAAAAAAAAAGTATTTGTTTGAAATGATATCTGCAGTTAGCTAGCAAACATCCGTTCTATAATTGAACTGTTACTATGACTGGGCTTTTGACAATGGAATAAGATGCATTCATGAAAAGCTATATATATATATATATATGTATATATTTTTAATTACCAATAAAATTTAAAAATTCCTACAAGAAAACATATAAGTTTATAATAAAATGTGCAATGCTCATAAACCATTTCATATATAAAACATTACACCTAAACTATAAAAGGAAATGAAGTGAAGAAAATTGAAAAATATTCATCTGTTATAGAATCATGGAATTAATAAAATAAGCATCACATGTAGACATGCTAAGAACATCAACTTTCTACACATATAAAATTGAAATTTCATGTTAACATGTAGTACATGCATGCAGTACAAAGCCATTAATTAATCAGGTTTTCACTACTGATTTCTACGATAACAAGGAAAAAAAAATGCAATTTCATTCTTCATCAAATTAAAAATATTAAAGCAAGTAAGCAAGAAACATTCACAAAGAATAAATTTTATTTATTTCGTGTGTGAAAGCAAAACAGATACGAACGCACATATATATATATATATATATATAGAGTAGACACAAATACTCAACCGTGTAAACAAGTGACAAGTCAAACAAACAAGTTTCCAAACTTTTATCATACCATCCAGTAGCCTTATCATCCACTAATTAATTGCATTTCGCTATTCCTACGTAGTACTTTTACTTGCAGTAATAAGAAAACTAGTATCATTATTATTTAGATGCAAGCCATTAGCAAACGTTGATAGCGATAATGTCAATTGCAGTACACTAAGAAACGATAAATTTCACTTAAATATGGAAAGTAACAATTTTATTTTGAAGGAACATTATTTTGAAGAAATTCCCATTAATGAGGTGTAATAAATATAGCTGAAATACCGTAATGCAAAAAAGTATCCTCAAGAACAAAAACGCTAAAGATATCAAATAAAATAATAAACTTGGAAACTTTATATGATAAGCCTATAAATTTCCCATTACATTATTACATCTAAATTTTATGTCGAACTTTCATTTAAATGTTTCATTAATTCTAACAAATGAATTTGTCATAACTAATCACAGATTTTAAATAAATCTAAGAATAATAATTTCACCCACATCTCATCATGCAAAGACCTCCAGATATAATTGTCCAGATGTAATTGTATATTTCACTCACAAATTCAGCTATGAATTTCAGTCTACCAATTGTAAATTTCACCTCAAAATAAATCTCACTTCTATCTTAGTTATGGTTCAAAGACTTACATGCTTACATCAGGAATTTTTTGAAGAGTGATATTCTAAATTATTAGCAGATGAAACAAAATTTCGAAAAATATGCAAGATATTTATTCCTGGCACAGCAACGCATAACATTAATTCATCATCAATCATCATATAAATGCCTCAAAATCAGGCAATCTATTTACGGTTTGTGATTACTGTTCATTACTGTTCAGTTATTATTCCCATTCAAAAATTCTGCTTTATTCTGATATTTTAAAATTCAATCAGCTAGAGATGCTGGTATTTCAAACTGCTCTGAACCACCTCAAAATTGTTTTGAACCATGTCGTTCATAATTTTTTTTGAAAATTTTACAAAAATATTTTCAGCTTATATGCACATAAAGAAACTAATTTTGTTATGTCAACAAATTTCCACTTTAAAATTTATTTTTTCTTCAAGCAATTCATCTATCTTCATTCTTCTAATCCCTATTTATCAAATCGCAAACTAAGCTAACACCTTCGAATCTTCTAATCTGCAATTTACGTAAGGTTAAAAATTCTGTAATTAATTTCAACTTGCATTTTCTATTTCATTTCTCCAAGCCCTTTTTGTAAATTTCTAAACCTCAAAGTTTTCCAGTTATTTCATTAAAATATTACATATATTTCGATTTTACTATTATTAATAGTCACAAGGCAGTTTCATTATATCATCATACTGCAAACATGATGTCGTGCGAGTTTAATAAAAATATTTGCTTTAAAAAAGCAGTATTTCCTAAATTTTGAGGACAACTGATATGTAATAAAATAAACTGAAATATCTATTAAACAAAATGTAAAAAAAAATACCAGAATCATTTTTTTATATTAATATCATCTAAATGGATTTAAAAACATATTTAAAACTAATTACATCAACTGACAGCTTATGTTCATTTTACACTATTCCTAAATTACAATAAAATTAATAGTTTACAAACTGAGAGAAATAAAGGAAAAAAACTTGACACCTTTTCAATGTTGATGATAGCACAGTTGTAATCCTTGATGAATAATGCATACACCTGATGCACAATGAATGAACAAGGAAGGCAAATGAAATTTGTTAGGAAACCAAATATTTGAAACTTGACTTAGCAAATAATTGTAGCAACAGCAGTAGCAATTCGGCATTTAAGAATAGAAAGTAGCAAAGGCAGCCGACAGAATTGTAGTTGTAGCAATAAATACTGTTAAGTAAACGTGACTCTGAATGGACGCTCCACTAACGTTTAGGTCATATTTCCTACTCATTTTCCGCTTCAACTGATCCTTTTTATCAATTTAAAAGAAAAAAGAAAAAGAATGGATAAATGCGTTATATCCGTATTTCCAGTTTTAGTCTGCTTTCAGTAACCGGAAACCGTAACGAACTTGGAAATATTACCCACACAAATATACTGCTACTGCTGTGCTATTTTCCTTTTTTTGTCTGAAGTGAAGAGCCAGTCGCTAGCTGAAATTAGCAGAAATTTTAAAAGTTTGTCACTTCTGGTTTTCTTCGTCGTATTCATACAAAAGAAGGATCACTAGAATATGGGTAAAATAATTCAAACAAAACTGAAACGAGGAAAAGTCAGGTAAAAGACATGTAAACAAAAAAATGGTACAAAAGAATCTCTTAATTAGGAACTTAATGATATTCCAATATCATACAAGAATTTAATGTTAAAGATTTGAGTAATCTTAACTATATAAAATGAAACAATTCCCGATCACTTTAAAATAAGCAAAAATACTGTGAAACAATACAATAAGCGATCATCTTAATAAATTTATAGCATTTAGTGGTGTAAAGATACGAACTTTTTAAATTAACTATTAAATGACTGTTCCATTAAAGCACTTGACAATAAACTGAAAAAGCAGCTGTTCCAGCGTAATTGAACTCTATTAAATAACAGAATAGTTTTGACTATATATGGAGATATTCGTGACAAATAATAATATCATAATATAATCAACATATAATATCATTTTTCATTGAAAAATGATCAAGAGCAGTCGATCTGTTTGTCATTCAGT